AACGTTAGAAGCATAATGAAAATGTCCTATGACTAACTCGATGACCGTAAATTTGACAACTTAGATGAAATGCAACGGTTTTTTGAGAGACAAAAACTACCAAAACTCAGGAAGAAACAGAACAACCTGAGTAGTCCTATATCTACTAAAGAGACTGAATTTGTAGTTAAAAGTTTTCCCACAAACCAGAACAACCACCAAGAAAACTATACAAAATAATACTCTCAAAATCACTACAAATAAGTCAGGATAGAATCCTTAAAAATATCTTTAACCCATGGGAAGGGAAGAAAAGAGAAACAGAGGACCCAAACAATAAGCAATAAAATGGCAGACAAAAGCCCTAACATCAATGACTGCCTTAAGTGTAAACGGTCTAATTATATCAGTTATAAGACAGGAATTGACAGAGTGGATAAAAAATCATGGCCCAACCATATGCTATTTAAAAGAAACTTAAAATACAAAAAAAAAAAAAAAGTTGAAAGTAAAATAATGGAAAATGATGTATCATGCAAGAATTAAAGAAAGAGTAGCTATGTTAGTATCAGATATAATAGGCTTCAGAGCAAAGAAAGTAACTAGGAACAAAGATGTAGGCACATTACAGAACGATAAAAGGATCAATGCACCTGGAAGACAAGAGGATTCTAAATGTGTATTTACTGAAAAACCAGAGCCTCAAAATACTTGAAGCAAAATTTGATAGAGCTGAAAAGATAAACAGACAAACCCACGGTTATATATAAGTTTCGGATTTCAACACCCTCTTCCACCAGAAATAGATATAACTAATACACAGAAATTCAAGAAGGATATAGAATAACTAAACACTATCAACCATCAGGTTGATCAATATGTATAGAACATTCCAGCCAGTAACAGCAGAACACACAATCTTTTCAAGTGCCCATGGAAGATTTCCCAAGATAGGTCCTATCATGGGCCATAAACTAAACTTCAACAGATCGAAAGAATTGAAATCAGAAAGAGTATGTTTTCTGACCATAATAAAATCAAACTAGAACTCAGTAACAGATGATAACAGAAAAATCTCAAAACATTTAGAATTTAACACACTTATAAATAATCTAGTGTCAAAGACAGTTTCAGAAATTTTAGAAAATACATTTTAACAAAAATGAAAACAAAATATGTGTGACAGTTAAAGCAGTGCTGGGAAAGAAATCTATAGCACTAAATAGTTGGTTTAAAGAAAAGATTTTCAAATCAATGATCTAAATTGCTAACTTGAGAAGCTAGAAGTAGAAGAGCAAAGTAAACCCAAAGCAAGCAGACAAGAGGAAATACTAAAGATAAGGCAGGAAGTCAATGAAATTGAAAACAAAAACAATAGAAAACAGTCAATGAAACAAACAGCTGTTTCTCTGAAAAGATCTATGAAATAGGCAATCTTTAACAAGAAAAAAAAGAGATGGTCATTACCAATATCATAAATGAAACATCAATACAGATTTAGTAGTGAGTAACAGGATAATACGGGACTACTAAGAAAAACTCTACACACATTAATTCAACATCTTAGATGAAATGGACCAATTCCTTCAACAGCATAAATTACCAAAAACTCACTCAATAGAAAGTAGGTCATTTGAATAGCCTTATAACTATTAAAGATATTGGATTTCCAGTTTAAAAACTACTAGAACTAATAAGTGAGATCAGCAAGGTCACAGGATACAAGATCAACATACAAAAATCAATCATATTTCTATATACTAGCAATGACCACGTAGAAACAAAATTAAAAACAATACCATCTACAATCTCTCAAAACAAATAGAAATACTTAGGTGCAAATCTAACAAGTCATGTGGAGAAATTGTATGCTGAAAACTGCAAAGTACTAATGAAAGAAATCAAAGATCTAAATAAATAGATGTGCCATATTCATGGATTGGAAGCCATCAACATAGTAAAGATGACAACTCTCCCCAAATTTATTTACAGGTTTAATGCAATTGCATAAAAATCCCAGGAAAATGTTTTTGTGGATATAGACAAGCTTATTCTAAAATGTGTATGGAAAGATAATGAGCTAGAACAGCAAAAATAATTTTAGGGAAAAAGATGTATAATGTGGGAAAAGTAGCTCTACCTGATTTTAAGACTTTCTATATAGATCATCAAGACAGTGTAATATTGGCAGAGAAATAGACAACTAGATCAGTGGAACAGAGTGGAGAACCCAGGAGCTGATTCACAGAACGACGCCCAGCTGATTTTTGACAAAGATGCAAAATCAATGCAACGAAGAAAGGATTGGCTTTTTGACAAATAGTGCTGAGGAAACACGACATCCATAGGTAAAAAAAGATTTTTGATCTCAACCACACTACTTATACAAAATTTAACGTAAAATGTACCATGAACTTCCATGTAAAACATAAAAAACAGCACTTTTGGGAGAAAAACACTGGAGACAGTCTTTGGGACTTAGGGCTGCGTGAAGCATTCGTAGTGCCATTCATGAAAGAAGAAGTGATAAGGTGACCTCCATCAATATTACAAACTTTTGTCTGCAAAAACACCTCTTAAGAGGATGAAAATACAAGCTTCAGAATGGGAGATAATGTTTGCAAACCATATATTTTATAGAGAGCTCACATCTAGAATACATAAAGAACTCTCGGCAGTAAAAACACATACCATCCAATTGGAAAATGGACACGAGACTTAAAGAGACATTTCACCAAAGAGGATATATGGCTGGCAAATAACTGCATGAAATGATATTCAACATTATTAGCCAGTAGGAAACACAAATTAAAACTACAGGGAGCTTACACTAGACACCTATTTAGAACTAAAATACAAACTAATGGCAATCGAAGATTCCGGTGAGAATGTGGAGAAACTGGATCTCTTATACGACTGGTAGCAATGTGAAGAGGTTGTAGCCACTTGGAAAAGAGTGTGGCAGTTTTTGAAAGATCTTACATCCACGGGGCCAGCCCAGTGGCGTAGTGCTTAGGTTTGCACACTCTGCTTCGACAGCCTGGGGTTCATAGCTTCGAATCCCAGGCACAGGCCTACACACAGCTCATCAAGCAATGCTGTGGCGGCATCCCACATACAAAATGGAGGAAGATTGGCACGGATGTTAGCTCAGGGCCAATCTTCCTCACCAAAAAAGGGACAACTTGTGTCCACAAAAAAACCTGAATGCAAATGTTCACAACAGCTTTATTTATAATAGCCCCAAATAGGAAAGAGTCCAAATGTCCTTCGATGGGTGAATAGTTGAACTGTGACACATCCACATCATGGAATGCTGCTCAGCAATAAAAAGGAAGAAACTATTGATACGGGCAATGACTCGTATGGATCTCAAAGGCATTACACTGAGTGAAAAGAAGGCAATCTCAAAAGATTATGTACTGGAGAGGACAGTGCTTGCCAGTGTTTAGGGATGTGGGAGGTGGGTGTGACTCTAAAGGGACAGCATGAGGGACGTCTTTGTGGTGATGGCACACTTCTTGATTGGGCTGGTGGTTACATGAATATGCACATGTGATAAAAGACATTTAACTGTAAACACACACAAATAAGTGTATGTAAAACTGTGAAATCTAAATAGATTCGGTGGACTTCCAGTTTTGATACTGTATTATAGTTAGTTAAGGTGTTATCGTTGGGAGAAACTGACTTGAAAGGTACATGGGACCTTTCTGTCCTATTTTTGCAACTTTCTGTGAATCTATAATTACTTCTAAATAAAAAGGTTTTAAAAATCAATTTTATTTCTGTTCAGCAGCAAAAATCTCAAACTAAAAAAATTTTTGACATACTATTTACAATAGCTTTAAAAAAATTAAAGTCTCAGGAATAATTCTAATGAAAAACATGCAAATCCTCTACACAGAGAACTTTTTAAAGATTTAAAAGAGCTGAACAAATGAAGCGATATGCTATGTTCATTGATGGAAGAATGAAAAAGATATCAATTCACCCCAAACTGATCTATGTGGATTTAATACAGACACAATAAAAATCTTGGCAGGGAGCCAGCGCTGATGGCCTCGTGGTCAAAGCTCTGCACGCTTGGCTTCAGTGGCCCTGGTTCAGTTCCCAGGTGTGGAACCACACCACTTGTCTGTCCGTAGCCATGTTGTGGCAGAGGATCACATAGAAGGACTAGAAGGACCTATAACTAGAATATACAACTATGTACTGGGGCTTTGGGGAGGAAAAAGAGGAAAATTGGCAACAGATGTTAGCTCAGAGTGAATCTTTCCCAAGGAAAAAAAAAATCTTGGCAGGTTTTTTCTCTTTCTTTATTTTCACCTTTGATGGAAGTAACAAACTGACTCTAAAATGTATATTGAAGTACAGATGGTAGGTATAGTCAAAGTAGTGATGGAAGAAGAAAAGTTGGAGTATTTCCAGCCCAGATATCAAGACTTATTGTAAAGTGACAGTGTGGTATTAATACAAGAATAAGCAAATAGACCAAAGAAGGAAAATGAAGTTCAGAAATAAACTCACACATATACGGACACGTTAATTTATGACAAAAGTCCAGAGTAGTGGGGAAGAGAGTTCTTTTCGGTAAATAGAACTGGATCGCTTTTATATTCATATATGAAACAATAAACATCCACCCATACCTCACACAGTACACAAAGCCAATCTGAGATGACTTGTTCCTGACACGATTCTCACATGTTGAGGTCTACAGGGTAACTATTTGAGTTCAAAACTGATTCAGCTTGACCTACGAAGCCTGACTTATGGCCTATCAAACACACATTGTACATCTGCTTATCCATTAAAGTAAAGAATGCACTCTCTTAAGATAAAAGCTCATACTTCCCCTCCTATGCCCTATTGGTAACGTCCTATTGGTAAGGCTGGATTAGTCCCTTTCCTGACATCAAGGTTATGTTGACCTGCTAATTTGCAACTGAACTCTGCTTTGAAATTTTGATGAAAATGTATCCTGGGTGTGTTAAATGTATGTTCTTTGTTCTAAAAAGATATAAAACTGTACTGAAACCCTGCTTCTCTGGAACACCTTCTAAGGCCTTCCTGGGTTATAATCCTCACTCTGGCTCATAAGAAACTCACCCCAATTCTGCGTCAACATGTGAAAGGTAAGACAATAACACCTCTAAAACATAAAACATAAAACATAATAGGGAAGAATTTATTTTGAGCTTGAGGCAAGTAAAGATTTCTTCAACAACATGCGAAAAGCATTATATATTGTTTTCTTGAGCTCTTTATAGATTTTATTCCTTCTTTATAGCATCTTCTTGTTTTATGGATGTAATATTTTCTCCATGGTGATATAAATTAGAATCTCTTAATTCAGATTTCTTGATTTTCTAAGTTCACTTTTTTGCTTGTTTACTTTTCCGCATTCCTGGCGTCCACATTTGTCTGATGACTCTAAGTTTTCCTAGGACTCAATTGCTAATAGGTGACTGACGTAAGTTTCCTCTGTCGTTGTGTAAGTAGGTTTGTTTCCTCATTAGGTCTCAATGGCAAAGCTGATGGGGAGCTCTGGGTACATGGCTGGATGGGCAGCCCTTTGGCTGGGAATCTCTGAAATGCTAGGATTCCTAAACCACTAGCCTATCCTCACCCAACCAGGTCCATTTTTCTAGAGAAAAGCTCCCTGGCTTCTTTGACAGGCAGTGCCTTGGAACCTGGCCATCTCTGGGTCTGAAGTCCCTGAATGTCTCCAGGAAGCTCTCCTCCCTGGCCCCCGGAGCCCTCTTTGTATATAGCCTTCCTCTGGCTTCTTTCAGCATCATTCTCTCATCCACTTTTCTTCTCCCAGAAGTGTGTTAAGATCTTACTTCTTTTGTTATTATTGTTGTTATTTAATGGTTGTGAGTAGAGAAAAACAGATGTTTTCAGTCTACCCTGTTTAACTGGAACCTTCTAACTTGTCCTTTTAACTAGCTTAACTTCGTGTGTGCCTAAATTACTTGGAGGTACTACCCTGTTAACATCCAAATGGAACATGTATTTAGAAACAGTATTATAGAGAGATTTGAGGGCAGCATGAGAAGGTTGATCAATCTGACTGTGAGAATAAAAATCCTCGTGTCCTTTATGAAGAAACCCAGGTCAGCATCCCCACCTGTGGGGTTTTGATTGTACCACCTGCTTCAGCAATGCGTCTTAGGCATCCTGGTGTTCACAGACTCTGGGGTGAGAAATCTGAATCACTGAGCGCTTTTCCGAGTGGCAAAGTGAGTCCAAAACTGCTTCAAGGGAAGCTCATGTTCTGTCCACTGGTGCTCAGTTCTCTTCAGGGCAAGACGGCTGGTTAGGTTGCAGAACTTTACAAAAGATCGCCAACTCCCTATTCGCTTACCGCTTCTCTTTGTGCACCCCTCTGCCTTCAGCCAGCCGCGTGGAAAAGCAGAACACTGGGCCCTCCTCAGAGAAGAGAATCTCAGCCCATCAGCTGTGCAACTCTTCTCAAAATCCAGGCTGAGGAAAAACCATCTTAAGAAAGATCATTGAAAGCAACATTTCCCAAACAGTGTTCCAGGGAGCACTCTTCTGCCCGATGTCAATAGGTCTTCATGGAGGAAAGAAGTTCCACGGTTGACCAAATGCACATTTGCATATTGAAGGGTCTGAGAAGGAAAATGTCATCAGGACCAACCTGTTTAACTTGGTTCAAGCCAGCCTTTCCTTACGGTATCTGACTCGAGAACTCTTCCTGGGGGTTTTTACCAGAAGCACACGTAGGAAATCCACTTCTCTATTTGTTACACAATGCTGCTGGAAACAATCATCTCTTGTGATACTTATTGTCCAAAATGCTCCAAAAACAAGTGTCCTTCTGACTTTGTGTGGAGGAGTGGTGGGAAGCGGGGCTTTGCTCTTTCTGATGAGCAGAGCCGTGTAACTTGTTGTTCCCCTTTTGGCTCAAGGAAACTCTGAGTCAAACTTGATATTCAGTCTTAGTAAAGATATCTTTCTCTGTGATTAGCATATTTTCTTCCTTCCTCTTTCCATATTCTTATTGTTTTGAGTTTATTTAACCCTCTGTTACTATTATCTTTTGGCAAAACCTTTCAAAAACATTTGAGGAACAGTCAAGGTGGAAATGTGTTTCAGAGGCAAAACGTGGCCAAGAAAACCTGCCCAGACTGTGACACTGATGTTGATATGTGATCATGTAATATCCATGATCACACAGATTCAACAACACAGTCATAGTCTAATCACACAATGTGACAAGTTCCCCAGATATCAAACCATTTTTATTTTCGATTTCAATGAGTTTCAATTGTAAGAAAATATTTGGCTCTACAATTATCACTACCACGTTCTTGTGCCCTGGTGAAGTATTTGATGGCAAAAAGGAAATCCTTAGGGAAACTATAGTTTTACGTTTCCAGTTCATGGGGGAATGTGGACCACATTTAACTAACAGAGTAGTTTAGACGTGTTTTATTTCAAAATGCAAATTCATCAGAGGAGGAGGGGCTGTTCCCTGGGCTTCTCTTGAACACATTACCACATACGGCATGCACACCGAGATGTTCTTAGGAAATTTCTTGAGTTGGCTTTTTGAAGTGACAGTGCACAGTCCTGGCTAGTGGGGGAAGGGAAGCAAGGCGTGAAGAAGAGGACTCGTGGCTGAGGCCTTCGTGACAAACATCTGCGGTCCTTGTCTTAGACTTTATCTTGAGTTCAACAGACCACATTCCCCAGGACACTGACTCATGGGCTGTGGGGCAGAGGAAACTTAAACATCCGGGAATATGAGACTAGTCAAATAGCTTACAGTGGAACACTACCAAACCAATAAAACTGAATTACATAAAAATATTTAACGGCAGCTTTGACGCAGCTTTGAGCACTCGTGAATTTGGAACAAGATATATTTAATCTTTCGATTTAGTCAACATTTGCCATCCTCAGTCAGAGACACAGAAACAGAAAAGTTAAAATTTATTACTCTGAATTCAAAAAACTAAAGTATGAGAGAAATTTAAATAAATGATGCTATTTTGTAAATCTGTAGATTTCTACTTCTGCCTTTAAAAGAGCTAAAACAGCACGAAGACTTTGGGACACGCTGAGTTATTTATTGAACACTGCAGGCTACTAACAGTGTACACGGGGTGTTTCAAATTTTGTAAAGCATAACATATGTCTATATATTCATAGAAAAAAGTCTACAGAATTATAACCATGCATATTTACACAGCTGTTTTCTCTCTTGTGAGATTTTTATTTTGCGTGTTTTTCTGTGTTTTCCACACTTTCTGTCAACATACATAGAAATTTTAATATGGAAGGAAAAAAAATCTTAAAAATGAGTGTGGTAAATTGGATCTGAGGAGACATTTCTGGTCAGCCGTCCTTTCCCCTTCCACACTGAACTGTTGTGGTTCAGATCTGTGACCGCATGCCACCCACCCACCTCTGGCTGGGGCTCCATAGGGTGAGGGTGCCCCATTGACCTCCAGGTAGGTGATCAAGAATGTGCATGTGGCTGACTCTGAAAATGAGACTTGTGGGCAAGTTTGCTGGAAGTTTCTGAGAACAGTGTCTTCACTTCTGAGCAAGAGCTGGGGGAAGAAATACTGCTTTCTGTTCCTCCGATGTCTTTGCTGCTGCTTGAGAGGCCTGAACCTGATGCTGCCACGGATGAAGCCAGCACCCAGGGGAGAGCAGCAGAGGCGCTCAGAGAGCAGGCCAGGGCCTCAGGATCAGCCAGCACAGACCACCGGACTGCTGCCTCCAGGTGGGAGACCCAACACCTGTCCTCATGTGCAGGCCAATTCAAACTGCGATTTCTGTTTCTTTCACCCTAAAGCATCCTGACAGATACAGGCTCCTTCTGAAATCCTTGCTGAAGGAGTTTTCCTTCTTCAGTCCAAACCGTCTGCTCCTGGCAAGTGAGCAAGGCTCGGTTGATTTGAGGCCAGCAAGCAGATGGTGGCTCTCAGTTTTCCTTCCTGAAAAATATGATTACTACGTGGAGCTTAAGGTTGTTCATGTGTTTTCTGTTCGGAAGAAGGGTGTTTATTTTTAACACACTGAGGGGAGGAGTAAGAAGGCCCAGAATCACTTTCTTCAAATGAAACTTCACTCTCTGAGCTTTTTCCTTTACACTAACATCAGGTAGTCCACTTGTGCTCTCATCCGTCGGGAGCCCTAAATAAAACTCTTAGGGAGCTGAGTGTCAGCCTGCGTGCTGTGGAACAGCACAAACTCACATGTCCGCAGAGGCCGGCAGGAGAGCATCATGGCGACAAAGAGCTGGTGCGGAGGTGCCGGGGATCACGGCCCACCGTGCTCCATCCAGAGCAGGCAGCCCTCCTCCTCCTCAAGGGCAGCTCAGAGTCCCCGCATAGTGATGCCTGGCCGGCCAGCCTGGGCTGCCCCAGGCCTGCTCGTATTCCGACACTGCACCCTAGACGTGTTCCAGCAGCGAAGGGCCGGCCGAGTCTCTTCCCTCCCGGAATCTGAACAGTGTGCTGTTAACAAGGCAGCCTGTGCTCGCCCCGTGGACTGTCTCTGAAGTTGGGTTAGCCAAATCCCCAAGGTTTTTTCCCTCCAGCTACCTTCAAGCTGGCCTGTCTCGTCCTGTGCATAAACAAGTGGAGAAAAAAATAGTTGCCCTTCTAACCCCTAACTGCATGTCGACCTATGTCATAGTAAGATCATTTAACGGTTATCCAAAGGATAAGTTATTTTTCTGCATGTGTCTTACTTGTTTTGAATTTGTGTTAGATACATGTCCCAGAGAGACTGTGGGGCTAATGGCATGGACATTCTGTCACTCTCATGTGGGTACACTAGTGACTCTTTTCATCTGCCTGCTTAGTCTTAAATACAGGACTTGGTAAATTCCATCCTGTTAGTTTAGGCCCATAACGCTAAATTATAAAAAGTTTTCCCACTTCTGAGTCTGTTGTTCACTAAAGTAGCTATTGCTTTGCGTCATCTGTGTGTTTGAGAAATAAGGATGTTCTCTGGTTTTGAGGCGGACCTCAAACGAGTTTGCTCAGGAGAGGGTCAAGGGCAGAGCTCAGAGGGGTGCCAGCAGAAGCCCCTCCCTCACTGTTTAGTTGATAAAACCCATCCGAGGGGCCTGTCAGCAGGTTCACATCTCTCCAACTTATCCAAAAGGAGGACCTAAAAGGCTTAATCCAATACCTTCCTGCGTGGGCAGAACACACTTGGCTCATCCTGGAGCCCAGTCGCAAAGCGAGGGGAGGCTGCGTGCCCAGGCCCGGTGCGAGTGGCTAGTCTGTGTCAGACTCCATTGGGCTCCAGCTGCCAACTTAGAAGGAAGATGTTCTTGCTTGAGGAGGTCTTCTAAACCCCTATGGTGTAAATAAGATTTCCTGCATGTTCTTCTTGGATTTGTGTTGTTTTATTTTTTATATTTGTTTTAATTCATCAGGAGTTTATTTTTGTATATAGTGTGAGATAGAGGTAATAGGCAGTTAAGCTAGTATCTTCTTTTACAGATCATTTAGATAATATTTAAATATTAATTAAAAAATATTTCTGGGCGCCTACCCTGTGGCATAGTGGTTAAGTTCACATGCTCCACTTTGGTGGCCCAAGGTCCACAGGTTCGGATCCCAGGTGTGGACCTAGCACGGCTTGTCAAGCCATGCTGTGGTGGCATCCCACAGAAGATGGAGGAAGATTGGCACAGATGTTAGCTCAGGGCCAATCTCCCTCACACACACACACACACACACATACACACACACAAAATTTCCATCTATCTTCAAATAAGAGATAGTCGTCTCCCCTTTTTATCATTGTTATTATTGTTATAAAGTTTTGTATTAAAGTGATGCTAGCTTTGTAAAATAAATTGAGAATATTTTCACACTTCTATAGTCTGAAGTAGATTAAATGACATTAGAATTAACTGAGAAGTGGGACTCAGTTGTGAAACCATCTGGTCCCAGGTACCCTTTCAATGGTATATTGTTCATTGCCTTTCAAGTTCATCTATGGTAATTGATTTATTTAAGGTTTCTACTTCTTGGTTTAATTATGGTAATTTTATATTTTGCAAGGGAACTTGTTTCCTGGAAAGTCTGTTTCCAAGTACGTCACCATCGGGTTCTAAGTCGTCTTCTTCGACAGCAGGCTCGTCTGTTCCTGTATCTGCGATTATCTGACTTTCTCATTCTACTCATGTGCACTTTGTGTATCTTTTTGCCTTTATCAGTCTCACAAGAAGTTTATCTATATTACTGGTCTTTTCAGTGAAATGCTTTTGGATGTGTACATCCTGTCTACTGTGTTTTTGTTTCTATTATATAGATTTTAACCCTCGTCTTTATTAACTCCCTCTTCCAACTCTTTGTGGTTTAATTGGTTGCTCCCTTACTCGTTTCTTAAAATGAGAACTGCTGTGGGTTGAGCTTTGTCCCCCTTTTAGGACATGTTGAAGTGCTAACCACCTGTGCCTCAGAATGTGACCCTATGTGGAAATAGGGCCGTTGTAGATGTGATTAGTTAGGATGAGGTCTTACTGGATATGGGTGGGCCCTTAATCCAATGTCACTGGTGTCCTTATACAAAGATGTGAATACATGTGAAGACATACAGCCGAAGGGAGAACACTGTGCAAAACAGAGGCAGAGAGTGGAGTATTTATGCTGCCACCAGCCAAGGGCCACTGTGCCCACCAGAAGCCTAAAGGCAGTGAGGAGGGATCTTTTTGCATAAAGCTGACTTATATTTCCCAGGGTAACCACTAAGAAAAAAACAAAAAAAGAATATTCAGAAAAAGAAATGAGAACAGAATTAAAATTGTACACTAGAAAAAAATCAGTTAATCACAAACAAAGGCAGAAAAGGGAGAATTGAGGAACAAGAATGATATGACAAATAGAAAACACATAGAAAAATGACAAAAGTAATTCTATGTCAGTAATTACTTCAAATGTAAGTGGATTATATTCACCAGTAAAAAAGGCAGAGATTTGTAGAACTGACAAAAAACCATGATCCAACTATGTACTACCTATAAGTGACTCACTTTATATCCAGACACACATAGGTTGAGTGTGAAAGGATGGAAAAAATATTCCAAGTAACTAGTAACCCAAAGAGAGCTGAGCTGGCTATTCTAATATCAGACGGAATAGACTTTAACACAAAAGTTGTTGCAAGAGACAAAGAAGGACATTATATATTGATAAAAGAGTCAATCCATCAAGATTTAAGCATTGTAAATATATATGAACCTAAAAAGAGGGCCCCAAAATGTGTGAAACAGAAATTGACAGAATTGAAGAGAGAGATAGTTCTAAAAAAATAGTTGGAGACTTTCACTCTGCTTCCAATACTCCACTTTCAATAATGGATAGAAAAACTACAGCGAAGATCAATAAAAAAAATAAGACGAACAACACTATTAACTAACTAGACCTAATGATCACATACAGAACACGCCGCCCAACAGTAGCAGGATACACATTCTTCTCAAAGTATGTGGAGCATTTTCCAAGAAAGACCATATTTTAGGCCACAAAGTGAATCCAAATAAATTTATGAATGTTGACATCATGCAAAATATCTTCCCCAACCACAGTGGAATGAAGTTAGAGATAAAAAACAGAAGATAAAGGGAAAATTCACACATCTGTTGAAATTAAACCCACACATTAAAAAAAAAAGTGGGTCAAAGAAATTGCAAGTGAAATTAGAGAAGAGAGACAGATGAAAAGACAATATACCTAAATTTATGAGATGCAGTGACGGCAATGCTCAGAGAGAATTTATAGCTATAAACACCTACACAAAAAAAGAGGATCCCAAATCAGTTACTTAACTTTACACTTTAAGGAAGTGGGAAAAGAAGAGCAAGCTAAACCCAAAACTGGCAGAAGGAAGGAAATAATAGACATTAGAGTGGAGACAAACAAACAGAGAATAGAAAAGCAATGAAGAGAATCAATCAAATAAAAAATTTATTTTTGAAAACATCAGCAAAATTGACAATCCTTTAACTAGACTGACCAAGAAAAAAAAGAGAAGACTCAAATTACTAAAATCAAAAATGGAAGTAGAGACATTATTCTAGACTTTATAGAAATAAAAGGATTATAAGAGCATACTATGAACAATTGTATGTCAAAGATTGGACAAATTCCTAGATACATACAAACTACCAAAACTGACTCAAGAAGAAATAGAAAATCTGAACAGACATAAAAAGTAAA